TGAAATTGTTAGGGCTCTGTGTGTGTGTGTGTGTGTGTATGCGTGTGTGTGCCTGAGAGGGAGAAAGAGACTGATTCGTGACGGGGATCAGCTGACCCTACTTTTCTGTTTAAATATGATGCCCATATCGACCATGCTGTTGCAAATTCACCTCTGATTCGAATGTTAGGAATTGGTTGAAAATGAAATATCATGCAAATTCAGTAGTGTTAGCAGTTCTGCTCAAATTATTGAGCAGCTCCTAGGGACAAGACGGAGTGCTTGGTTCTAAACACTGGAAGGGCCCCTGGGTGGCTCCATTGGTTAAGCATCTGACTCTTGATTTTGGCTCAGGTCATGATCTCATGGTTCACTAGATCGCACCCCGCATCAGGCTCTGCACTGACAGTCCGGAGTCTGCTTGGGATTCTCTCTCTCCCTTTCTCTCTGCCCCTCATCTGCTTATATTCTCTCTCACTCTCTCAAAATAAATAAACTTTAAAAAAACTCTTATGGGGCTCCTGGGTGGCTCAGTTAGTTAAGTGGCTGACTTTGGCTCAGGTCATGATCTCATGGTTCGAGCCCCGTGTTGGGGCTGTGCTGACATCTGTGCTGACATCTGTGCTGACAGCCCAGAGCCTGGAGCCTGCTTCAGATTCTGTGTTTCTGTCTGTCTCTGCCCCTCCCCTGCTCATACTCTCTTTCTCTCTCAAAAATAAATTTAAAAAAACATTAAAAAAACTCTTTAAAATAAATAATGAGTATGTGAGTGAATGAGTGAAGAGTGAATGAATGAATGAATGAATGAATAGAAAGGAGCAGACCAAGTTTGGCCCCTGCCCTGATGGAGCTCATAGTCTGGTGAGAAAACAGCCACCAAACAAACAAACAAAGAAACCCAAGATAGGGGTGCCTGGGTGGCTCAGTCACTTGAGCGTCCGACTTCGGCTCAGGTCATGATCTCGCGGTTGACAAGTTCGAGCCCCGCATCGGACTGTGTACTGACAGCTCAGAGCCTGGAGCCTGCTTCAGATTCTGTGTCTCCCTCTCTCTCTGCCCCTCCCCTGCTCATGCTCTGTCTCTCTCTGTCTCAAAAATAAATAAACATCAAAAAAATTAAAAAAAAAACCCGATTGATATAGTCGTACATAAGCATATTTGATTGTAGATTTCATTTCTTTGTAGTGGAAGTGGACTATATCATCACTGGAAGTGTTCAAAGATGTGTTAATTTCTCTTTTCAGTTTATATTTTTCCTGTGGTATACAATGCAAGATTATTATTTGAGCATAAGGAGGAGTTCATTTATCTAAGTGTTTCTCAAAATGGAGCAGTTTATAATTGCCCTTAGTGTTGATTTCAATTAGTCTTATTGTAGGGTCACTTGAATATTTATAAATATCAAACCAGGTATAAGCCCCTTGTACTTATACAACCATAAAACCAAAAATCTTTACAAGTTAGGGTCAAGAAAACCATAACACCAACAAAATTTAGACATTAATGTATTGTATGATATTGTTTTGCTGAAACTAAATTACCAGAATTGGATAGAAATATGTTTGCAATCATTTGTATCAGTTTGTTTAATTTTTAGGATGTTGGTTCCTCATTTGGATAATTATTTTTATCACTGTGGTTACATTTCCTTCATTTTTAAATGAGCAAAGAGCTCATTTAAAACCACTGATCCATTATTTTTATGGGTTAATTTAATAGCACAAATAATTATTCATAGGGGTTTTTTTTTCCACCAGATTTACTGAAAATAATCTCTTATGAATTGGTACAGATAAGAACAGGGTCCATGCAGTAAGTCCATTTCGTTGGAAACTGAATATAATTCTTATTGCTGTGGTTCAAATATTATAGGTTTGATATATCAACATATACTCTCTGTATATATGTGTCATAGTAAATATATCACATAATATAATTAACAATATATAAGGCACCATTACTTCATGATGACTCAATTATTTTACTACATAATGTGAAAAAATTCTTTTAACATCATGTTGTGATAGCAACATAGGGAAAGCATATTGTTTGTATGTTAAGTTCTCTTCTGTTTTTTTCTCAGTAGACCGAAACTATTACACTATGTCACTGTCATGAAGATATCTGCAGTGTTATTGCTACAAAGAAATTTAACAAGCACAAAGCAGTGGATATGGGGCAATTATTTTAGTTTTGACATTAGCATATGCCCTGTTAATAGAAAGAATGACACTTACTACACAGTGAAAATTAGATTCAGCATTGAAAGTGACCCTGACACATGAACATAAAATTCAACAAAATCCCAAAAGAACCCTGAGGTAGCATGGCACTACTCAGATGTGAACAGGCCGTCCAGAGATATAATCCTGAATATTTGTTATACAAGTTAGTATATTACATCTGTTTCCACTAGAGAGGGGTTAATGCTCTAGGGAGACGTGTTTGAAGACTGCATAAAAGGCTAATATATTTTATAATAGTCTTATATACACTGTGTTCATGTGTGTGAGAGTGAGAGCATGTGTATATTTCAAACCAAGCATCTATCAAACAAAAATAAGCTATATGTTCCTTTTTTTTTTAACAGTAAGATAGTTTATTCATCAGATTCTATGTATGAGTCTTCCTTACTTGTTAAATATGACCCTATACGTTATAATTCTCTTGAGCTTCAGTTTGAACAAACCCACTGCCTGAGAGGCATCGGCAGTTAAACTGAACAGACAGACAAAGTAGCTTGAGAGGAGTGATAGGAACATCTCTAGCCGGTTTGGATCCACAGGAGGAGGTTCTTCTGAAGGCCACGTGGGATTGCATGGATTTCAATTCATCCTGCAGTGACAGCCTTCTTAGGCACAGAGGGATTGCCCCCAGCTCTCCTACCCTGCCCCCAGCCTTTGGCATGACCCATGAGTTCCAGGAAGGTCGTAGGGGATAGAGTTGGAGGATGGGCACCGACTGGCTTGGCAGCTGGAGTTTCTTGGGATTCTTTTTTATTTTTAGTTATTTAAAAAAAAATTTTTTTTAACATTTATTAATTGTCGAGACAGAGAGAGACAGAGCACAAACAAGGAAGGGGCAGAGAGAGAGGAAGACACAGAATCTGAAGCAGGCTCCAGGCTCTGAGCTGTCCTCACAGAGCCCGTCGTGGGGCTCAAACCCATGAACTACGAGATCATGACCTGAGCCAAAATCGGGTGCTTAGCTGACTGAGTCACCCAGGCACCCCTAAAATCATTTTTATTATTTATTTTTCGGTTAGATTTCTTTTTTTTAATTTTAATTTATTTTTAAAATGTATATCCAAGTTAGTTAGCATATAGTGCAACAATGATTTCAGTAGATTCCTTAATGCCCCTTACCCATTTAGCCCATCCTCCCCTTCCACAAATCCTCCAGTAACCCTCTGTTTGTTCTCCATATTTAACAGTCTCTTTTGTTTTGTCCCCCTCCCTGTTTTTATATTATTTTTGCTTCCCTTCCCTTGTGTACATTTGTTCTCTGTCTTAAAGTCCTCATATGAGTGAAGTCATATGATATTTGTCTTTCTCTAATTTTGCTTAGCATAATACCCTCTGGTTCCATCCATGTACTTGCAAATGGCAAGATTTCATTCTTTTTGATTGCTGGGTAATACTCCATCGAATATATATACCACATCTTCTTTATCCATTCATCCATCGATAGACATTTGGGCTCTTTCCATACTTTGCCTATTGTTGATAGTGCTTCTATAAACAAGGGGATGCATGTGTCCCTTTGAAACAGCATACTTGTATCCCTTGGATAAATGCCTAGTAGTACAATTGCTGGGTCGTAGGGTAGTTCTATTTTTAGTTTTTTGAGGAACCTCCGTACTGTTTCCCAGAGCGGCTGCACCAGTTTGCATTCCCACCAACAGTGCAAAAGAGATCCTCTTTCTCCGCATCCTCACCAACATCTGTTGTTACCTGAGTTGTTAGTGTTAGCCATTCTGACAGGTATAAGGTGGTATCTCCTTGTGGTTTTGATTTGTATTTGCCTGATGATGAGTGATGTTGAGCATTTTTTCATGTGTCTGTTAGCCATCTGGATGTCTTCTTTGGAGAAGTGTCTATTCATGTCTTTTGCCCATTTCTTCACTGGATTATTTGTTTTTTGGGTGTTGAGTTTGATAAGTTCTTGATAAATTTTGGATACTAACCCTTTATCTGATATGTCGTTTGCAAATATCTTCTCCTATTCCATGAGTTGCCTTTTAGTTCTGCTGATTGTTTCTTTCACTGTGCAGAAGTTTTTATTTTGATGAGGTCCCAATAGTTCATTTTTGCCTTAATTTCCCTTGCCTCTGGAGATGTGTCAAGTAAGAAGTTGCTGCGCCAAGGTCAAAGAGGTTTATGCCTGCTTTCTCCTTGAGGATTTTGATGGGTTCCTGTCTTACATTTAGGTCTTTCATTAAACCATATATTCTTAAATTTTTCCTCTTAAGCATTGAAAACTATTAAACATATAATATCAGAAATTACTATGGACTTTTCATATATCCATCTGCTTCTCTAAAATCACAATTTGCATTTTCCTTCTAAAAGCATGTAGAAAGCACACCAGTGAATTGTAATGACCTGGGAATATGAGAGTAGGAACTAAAATTAGCAAGAGATGCTAAGAAGGAGAGAGGAAAAGTATTCTCAAAAATAGGGACCAAAGAAAAAAGGAAGTTGGAACCACTATCATGTTAGAAGAGCCTCCAATTTTTTTTTAAATTTTGTTTAACGTTTATTTATTTTTGAGAGAGACAGAGACAGAGCATGAGCAGGGGAGGGGCAGAGAGAGAGGAAGACACAGAATCCAAAGCAGGCTCCAGGCTCCCAGCTGTCAGCGCAGAGCCTGATGCGGGGCTCGAACCCACAAACTGTGAGATCATGGCCCGAGTAGAGGTCAGACCCTTAACCGACTGAGCCATACAGGCGCCCCAAGGCTCCTAGTTCTGAGTGTGGGAAAAGCAGTCACCGACTCCAAAACTTGTCTTTGTTCCCCAGGCCGCTGTCTCTGATCAGGAAAGGAAGAAGATGAAGCGCAAAGGAGATCGGTACTCCACGCAGACCTCTCTCATTGTGGCAGCTCTGAAGCGGTTACTGCCCATTGGGTTGAACATCTGTGCCCCTGGGGACCAGGAGCTCATCGCTCTGGCCAAAAACCGATTTAGTATGGTAAATTTCCTGTTCATACCGGTGGTAATGATCACTTGACCTCCAGACTCAAATGTTTAGACTCCCTTTTTCTCACTGGTTTGTGTCAGGATTTCATTTCCATTAGATGTTTTAGTAAGCAGTTTTTCTGTGTATGCAAAGACTGCCCATTTTTTTTGGGGGGGGCGCTATTTTTATTTCTAAATTATGTTGATCACCTCCAGGGAATATTCTGAAACCCAGTAGAAAAGATGCAAACAAGTTGCTGGTAGCGGGAAAAAAAATGGATTTCATATGAACTCCTATATAAAATTTGTTATGAAAAATGTATTCAAATTTAGGAGGGATAATTTTTCAGTGTGAGAAGCATCATGGACTGTGCTGATCGTGGTTAGATAAGGTGTTGACTTTCTAAGTCAACCAAGTTGACTCTTCGACTTGGCAAGCATCAACATTTCAGTTCTCAAGATTTCTTTATGACCTCTGTTTTTTCTCTTGGTGGCTACCTAGACGCACTTTTTCAAGAATATACAGCGGGATCATTATTTTATATTTATGTAAATGGGAGGACATTTTCTTTTACCCCCATTCCCACGAGGAAGCACCTCTCTGAATATCCAGAATTGGATACCCTGAGATAAGCAAATTGAGGGGACATTGTGTCACCATGGGCTGCACAGATTCAATTCTGGTGGTGGTCATTCTAGTATTTGATTCTCAGGGTATTTCCTTGTTGTTACTGGATCAGAGGGGGGTAGTATTAAATGCCAAAAATTACTTTCTGGAGAGTTCAGAGAATGATGGAGATATACCCCTGTTTGATCACAAGGGAACACACCTCTGCCCCCACTTTTTGTGAACCAGAAATTCCATTCCAGTGAGTCTTAAGACACTTCCCGTAGAGTCGATGTAAGTTGGTACCTTGTTTCCCGTTCACAGCAGTATCAAGAAATAGTCTGAAAAAGAACCCCCCCCCCCCCGTTTGTGGGGTGTGTTGAAACACTATACGTAGGTTTGGGCAGACATACACTATTTCAAAAGAGGTTGGAGTTACTTCTGTTGACTTGTGACAGTTGATGCATTAATGGTAAGACTTCTTTTAGGTAACATTTATTTCTTGACAGAAAGACACTGAGGATGAAGTACGAGATATAATCCGCAGTAATATTCATTTACAAGGCAAGGTAAGCCAAATTTAAGTACATAGTATTTATGAATTCAGTGAATCTCTCTTTAGAATAGTATCACAAGTAATGTCACTTTAGCAATTCAAATAGTGAAAATATATTATTTTAATCAGTCTTTATTCTACTTGCAAAACTCTTGGTATTAAAGACTCTCAAGATAAGCAATGTATTTTATTTACTTTAAAAAGTCAACGTAGATCACCAAAGATTTTTAGACTTTGAAAAAAAATATGTCACCATTTGAAATAAAGGTGGGAAAAATTTCCTTCATTAGCTGAGTTTGAGGACTTTTGGGACATGGAGATAGGTGTCCATAAGAATTTGAACTTTTTCATCTAGTGTCCAGAAATTAAATATATGTCATTAGAAGTCATTAGTACATAGGAGATATTAAGACTTGCTGTAATAGAAATAGATGAATAAATGAATTTACCTACGGAGGTAAAGGAAAACATAAATGTGGGTAAAAAAAATTGGTAGAAGTACTTTTTGTACTACTTTGTAGTACAATTTGGAAATTTTTCATACTAGGGGATAAATTGTTCATTTGTTTACAGAACCCGTTATGCAGTGTAAGAAGTCTAGCAATTTGTTATCTTGATTCAGCCTATTTGCTTCTATTCTGGTGTCCCTTCTGGGAAATTTTTTCAATTATGACAGTGTCCAAATGTCAACAAATAGTGACCACAGCATAACGTTTGCTTTTCTGGGTATTAAAATGTTTCTTTCCAAGATCAAAACCGTATTCTTTTTTTAACACTTACGAGCACAATATGATAAAGGTGAGACATACCTTTCCAGTATTCACAAGGCACAGACACTGATTTAGAGCACACTTCGTGTGCACTTTGACGTGTAGGTACTCATATTATTTAGTAATAACTTGGCGAGAATGGGAGATGAATGCCTTTTAGATTTCGATCTCTTCTCAGATTGCAAAACGATTATGAGCATTTTAAAATGTACTAATAAAGCCTCTGCCTGAACCTCAAGTGAAGGGTTTATGCTTCATATATGGGTGTTCGAGGAGATCCTGTAGTCCATGCAAAGGTCTCGGGATCCCCAGGACTCAAGACCACACTTTGAGAAACATGGTCTAGGACAACCATTACTGAGCAGAGACAGGAGATGTTCAGCACCTCTAAACGAAGGTTCTGTGCTCTTCTCAGGAAATAAATAAAACAGGATGTCTTGAAGAAACAGAAGGAAATCCGATTATATCTAGAAGTTTTTTATAGTAGTACTGAGGGCAATTTATGTTGTGTCTTGGGGAGTCAGAAAGAGAGAGGAGAGCAGAGAAGGAAACACATTTATGATCAGCATTTCACTTCCAACTGAATGAGACCTTAAAATAAAGCAGTAATGAATACATATTCTTTTTGATATTTCAGTCTATACTTGTTTTGTGAAGAGTCAGGCACATATATTATGGAGACACACAGACTTACAGAAGATGAATTCTTTTATTCCTAGCACCTTCTTGAATGTATTGTCTTGAAATTGTAGGATGGGTCATCCTGGGGCCAAAAGAAGTAACTTTATATGAGAAAGAATAAAGATGCTGCTTATTTTACCAAATATAAGTAAAAATGTGTATTTCTGTCTGGAAGCACCAGGCACAGTCCTCAAATGAAAAAAAGTATGTGGAGGAAAAACATTTTGTTTTATCAAAGGACAGATGGTGTCTACAAGCCATTCAGTGTATAAAATCCTGTGTTTGCCCCTAGATGAGTTATTTTTCACATGTCAAACTATGTTTTCTTGGGCTGGGAGTTGTGAAGTTTTAGATTTGTCCATTTACTTCTGCTTCATTACCCTCAGTCCCCCAGTTTTCATGGAGACTTGAAAGGGGAAGAGAAACATACAGGGATGACTTTGCCTATTTTCAATAATGTAGTTATTCTATATTCTTTTTTTGAAGTAATGTGATCTTTTCCCTATAAAGATGTTTATATTTGTCAATTTCTACGATTTTATGATAATCTTTCTCAAAAACATACAGAATTCAGTTGTATCTCCCACTCAGGAAATTTGACAATTTTAAAAAGACTCCTTTATTATAAGAATATGATTTTATATTCCTCCATTGTTTTATATTTGATATCTTTGTTTCAGTGAGACTAAACTCAGTTGCAGAGTTCCTATATTTATAGATAAATGAGATCCTGTATCATTGCCTGTAAAAGTAAATATGTAAATCTTTCAGTGTTTGACCATGCAAGGGGAAGAGAAAGATAGATCACTTTGCCTACTTCCTTGCCTTGATCATATCCAGCTCATCCTTACATTCTAGGTAAAACTTCACTTGTTCAGGGGAATCTTAACAGCCACCAGCAGGATAGGTCCAAGCTCATGATACCTTATCTTTCTCTTGAGTAGCTCTCCTCGCAACTGTACATATTTAATTTCTGTCTTCCCCACTGGATGGTAAATTTCATGAATACAAGGTCTTTCTCTGTGTTGATCTCTTCATGGTGTTTTGACACTGGGCTACACCCAGTAAAGTAGGTCTTCCCTTCCTTACATAGTAACCTTGTATTTTTGAAACTTTTTTCCTTTTTCATGCAGTTGGAGGATCCTGCTATCAGATGGCAAATGGCTCTTTACAAAGATTTACCGAACAGGACTGAAGATACATCAGATCCAGAGAAGACCGTAGAGAGAGTATTAGATATAGCAAATGTGCTTTTTCATCTTGAGCAGGTTAGATTCAGCATGGATTCCACAGTATTTGCCTTAACCATGTAAAAACATTTCAAAGGTGGTATGTGTTAATTTGTTAGCTATGGGTGGGCCAAAAACATGTGTGTTCAGCTTACTCATTATAAATAATATATGATTCAGGAGTGCTTATACCTAATAAGCAAATTTCCAAGCTTGTAATTTTTGTAGCAATATATAGGTAATATATTTTGAGATATCACAGCCTTTGTTTTATTGTCTTTTCTCAAAATATTTCTTTTTTTTTTTTTTAATTTTTTTTTTCAACATTTATTTATTTTTGGGACAGAGAGAGTCAGAGCATGAACGGGGGAGGGGCAGAGAGAGAGAGGGAGACACAGAATCGGAAACAGGCTCCAGGCTCTGAGCCATCAGCCCAGAGCCCGACGCGGGGCTCGAACTCCCGGACCGCGAGATCGTGACCTGGCTGAAGTCAGACGCTTAACCGACTGCGCCACCCAGGCGCCCCTCAAAATATTTCTTTTTTAAAAATTTTATTGATTTATCTTGAGAGAGAGTATGTGCGTGTGCAAGCAGGGGTGAGGCAGAGAGAGAGGGAGAGAGAGAGAATTCCAAGCAGGCTCCATGCTGTCAGTGTAGAGCCCAAAGCAGTCCTCGATCTCACAACCATTAGATCATGACCTGAGCCAAAATCAAGAGTCAGATGCTTAACTGACTGAGCCCCCCAGGTGCCCCAAAATATTTCTATATTTATACAGATAAATAGGATTATACACTTAATTTTAAGTCATTCTGACAAAAATTTCAGGAGTTACCTGATTTCATGTTCTGTGTATCAAATTTTTATTACTGCTCATAACAACATGTTTGAGATGCTTTCACTAGTTTAATATTTGAATTTTTTTGGTTACTTACCTCAACTTTCCTTTTATTAGAGATATTTTTGAGTTAATTTTCTCCAAGATCAGCAATAAATATATTTAGATAAGAGCTACGGCATCGATATTAAAACTGTGTGAGAATAGTGGTTTTATATAATTTTTCAGTTGTGTCCTATTTTAAACTACAAAGTTTACTATGTGTTTGATTTCTGTATTCATTACCTTTGTTTAACAATTCTCAAATTGATAGTATTCGAAAAATTATCCATCAGTGGGTTACATTTTTGTGTAAGGAATCTTCTGGCCTAGGTAAGATATTTGCAATAGAGGGACATTGTCCCTGTGTCTCATGAGGTCCATTCGGCAAAATGACACCAGAGTGAGGGAGTTCAGTGTGAACCCAACAGTGTAATCTGTCACTGGGCTTTCATGACAGCCTTTACCTGATGTGGCAGATCTCACATTTTTACAGTACACATAAAATCATAAAATGGCCTGTGTCATCTCAGGAACTTTGTCACGTAAATGTTTTGCAGAATATCTTAGCATAACAATGACAAAGATTTTTCTTTGATTTCTATTTTATATTATCTGGTGATCTTTCATCCCTGCCTTGACCAGTTAAGTCACATACAGATATCACCTAACGTAATATCCTTTTAATTTCCTTGTTTGCTTACTTATGTGACCCTCACACATTAATAACTTCTCCAGTGTCATGCGATCTGTCACCATACCTGATGAGATGTAGCTAGGATACTCTCAAACCATATGGCTATGGACATGTACTCACATTGTGTAACACCACAATATTTATAATATATAACATATGTAATATACATATGTAATATGTACTATATAATGAACTTAATGTTTCCCTCAATATCTCCATGAAATATTAAATAAGTACAAATTATCACTCAACAGAAGACAAAACTTAAGGTAATGAAATTTTAAGTGATATATAGAGTCCTAGAATTGTTTTTCCAGAGTTTATACATATTTAAGAAAGCTATTGGGGAGACTGGTTGGCTCAGTCAGTTAAGCATCTGACTTCGGCTCAGGTCATGATCTCACAGTTCGTGAGTTCATGAGTTCAAGCCCCACGTCGGGCTCTGCACTGACAGCTCAAGCCTGGAGCCTTCTTCAAATTCGGTGTCTCCCTCTCTCTCTGCCCTCCGCCGCTCATGCTCTGTCTGTCTCTCTGTCTCTCTCTCTCTCTCTCTCTCTCTCAAAAATAAATAAACATTAAAAAAAAGAAGAAAGAAACACATATTTAAGAAGGCTATTAAATGTCTACCAGAGAACTATTCCTGGCAGCATTGTTCTACCATAAGGTTTTAACTCTTCCTGGTTTTTATGCATATACCTGGATTTGCTTGAATGAGTATTAGATACATGAAATGAAGCTTATTGAAATCTGATAGTTTTATTATATTCACATATTTCATATTGACACATGTATTCAATCATAATGGATGAAGTCATTTGTAAAGTAGTGAGATTCATTTTCTGAAGCAGTCATTCCTTCCTCGAACATTTTTTGAGTGCACGACCATATGGCAGCATTATACTTCGCAGGTTCAGGGAATTGAACGCGGTCTGTCTACTCAAGTGAGTCATCCTCTAGTACAGCATGTGGATAGATAAATATATAATAATACAGAAGTGCTAGGATACAAAAGGTGCTGAAGAGGCTATAAAAGGAGTCCAGTCTTGATCTAGTTATGAAGTAGGTGATCCCCATAATCTTAAAGGAGAAGTAGGAATTTTCTAGGAAAAGGTAAGGGGGTCAGATTTTAGTGAAGGCCAACTATTCTACAGATGGTTAAGAACATGAGTAAAAAGAAATCATTAATTATCAAAGAATAGAAAAGAGCAGAGGATGTACCACAAGAGGAATTCATGCCTTCAATACCTCTGTTCTAATGTTTATTTGTAACTCAGTCATAGAGTAGCTTGTGATGAGTATCTTCACCTGCCAAACTCAGTGCATAAACAGTGGGCGCACAGCAAATACTTAATTTATCGTAGGTATCAGCGACCTTTGCAATTATATATTTTGTGCTGTACATCCGGTGACTTTTGTCCATGAGAGTAACCTGTCTCTTGGAATTTCCTAACACATAAACTCGAGCCAAGCTAACACAGCAGCACCTCCCAGCATTTGGACAGTGAGAAGAGAGGTATTAAGCACTTCTCACATATAGTAAAATGCTCTGCCAAGTGATAAGCTTCATGATGGCAGACACCTTTTCTACCATGGTCACTACTGTATCCTCAGTGCCTCACTATTTCAATGTGTTTGTTGACTGTCACCCACACCCATCAGAATACCTTATTCCCGGAAAAAGCTACCTCATACAGCCTGAGTATCAGAATGGCACTGTAATGCATTGAGTCTAGTTGAACGATACCAGCCTTGATTCACTTAACACAGCCACCAAGAAGAAAATCGAAGTGGACAGTTGTCACAAAGCGTTTACTGATCCTGTGAAGGGAGGACCATCATGGATATAAATAAGTGCTTTCCAAAGACAAGTTGCTTCATTAAAATTTCTAAACCACTCTAGTCCAGACACTCTTAATGTTTTCTTCAGGCATTATAAAATTCATATTTTGACCCTTTACTGCAAAGGATAATAGACTTTAGATTTATTTTTTTAGCTAACGCAACATTTTTATTTCTTCCAGAAATCTACATCTATGCACCGGAGATATTACAGTCTGGGAAGTACAGTGCTCAATTACCTAGAGACTACTAATTAATTTAGAATTACATGTTGGTTTTTTTTCCTCTCTAATACTTATAATTAATCTCTTTCCTCTTGGAGCTCCAAACACCATTAGCTAAATAAATAGCTTGCTTGCCTCATTTACTGCAACTTTGAATTCTCATTTGTCCCTATCTAACAAAATAATAATGTATTTTAACATTTTTGCAAAATTAAATTCTTTTCCTCACTCCTAGTAATGTGTTCCTGAAGCCTTGTCATTTTCTCCCCATCCTGTTATATAGTAAGGAACAGTTGAAATTTCGGTAGAATTTTCTATGTCTGCCTCTATTCGTGTTTACTGCTGTAACTCTCATGATAAAATTGGTCGAAATGGATACATAAATAAGAATAGGTTAATTTTTTTGCGTAGGCAGAAAACATGTTTTAGAACCATAACCAGATTCTGAAATGGCTGCAAAATGATTTTATGTAGAATGGTTTTATATTTCTTTGATTTTACAGATGACATAGCTTCTTGAGTACACACTACTGGGGAGATAACTCTGTTTTGACTAAAGAAAATACGTAGCATTCAAAACCATTTCCAATTTAGCATTGGGTGACTTCTAGGACACGGGCTTTCCCATAATAATTGCAGGGGTACTTTGGGAATTGTAATTCCAAACGTTTTTAATGTAAAAGGCACAGCTGTTTAATACAGTATTGTTGAGGGTAAGTCGGAGTTAAACATATTTAATGTTTTGTTTGTACCGTTTTTACCTCAGGTGGAGCACCCACAGAGATCGAAGAAAGCTGTATGGCACAAACTTCTGTCCAAGCAGAGGAAGAGGGCAGTGGTGGCCTGCTTCCGAATGGCTCCTTTATATAATCTGCCAAGGTCAGAATTTTTTTAATGTCGGCAATAGATGAAAGTTCTTTTTTCCCTAGTAAGCTGGAGGAGCATCATGTCTACCTTAACAGGAGTGCAGTAGTCTGAGAGAAGAATGCAGAACAAGTCTTGGCTCTTTTGTGTAATGCCTGAGCTTGTTTTTCTTTGTTGGGTGATCTTAGAGAACCGTGATGCGCAGTGTAGTTATTCAGTCACTTCTGAATACCGAGGAAGATGTGCGCAGGTATGTGAGGCAGGGTAGCGTAATTAGGAACTCTCTCTTTGGAATCAGACTGCCTTGATTTGAACCCTGGCATGTCAGCTGATGGCTGCGTGACCATTGGTCAAGTTTCTTACCTGACTTTGTTACAGTTTCCTCATTTGTGCCATGATGAGATTTGCCCCATGGAGTTGTTCAGATTATTTAATGGATTGAGGTATAGAGGGTGCTTAGAACCAAATTTAGCACTATTAATGTCCATTGCTGTTCATTATTTCTTGTGGTTTTTGGTCTTGGGGCAAAGAACTGGTACGGATCTAGTTTATGGGAATAGCAGAAAGGTGTTTAACAGTCCCTCACCCTTCTCTTAGAGCTACAGCTGGCATACTCGTTAACAGAGAAACTGGTACATTTGAGTCTGACTCGGTGGCCCAGCTACCATTTCAGCCTCCTTGCAGTTTTCCTAAGAAACTGTGGTCTTTCCTCTCTGAGCTTTGTGCAAGTGGCATCGTCCCCACATCTGGTAAACAGGACTCAGCACAACTGCGTCTCTTTTTTTGGAATATCTCTGACCAAACCATGCCCTTCAACTCCTTGCAAATGGAACACTTCCTCCTCTTTGTTTCCAGAACACTCTTACAGACCTCTCATTGTAGGCACAATCCTGTATGGTTGAGCCTAGTTGTCTCTCTGATTCAGACTTTGAGATCCTTTATTTTGGCTCTTTTTTTTTTTAAGTTTATTTATTTATTTTGAGAGAGAACATGCACGCTGAGCAGGGGAGGGGCAGAGAGAGAGAGAATCCCAAGCAGACTCTGACTTGTCAGCGTGGAGCCCAATGCGGGGCTGGAACCCATGAACTATGAGATCATGACCTGAGCCGAAACCAAGAGTCAGTCAGTTGCTTAACCGACTGAGCCACCCATGCACCCCTGGACTTTGAGATCCTTTAGAGTTTTATTCAATTTTATATCCTTAGTACCTGGAACACTGCCCTTCAGAACATCTTTGAATAAATAAATGCGTCAGGGAATAACAACACAAAATACAAACCCCTCCCCCAGCCCTCAAACAAAGCAAACAAAGAAACTTCACACTTTCCCCTTTCAGTGAGACAGCTGGATTCCTTGCCAAGGCACATTCACTGAGTATAAAATACATTAATTTCCCCCTCAGACCATGTGCTACTTTAAATTCTCTAACTCAGTTATGGTGTCACCAGTTAGTCAATAGAACATTAACCTTGAATCCATAGTTTTACTCCTTTTCTGGTCCGTCCTGTACAGTCATTCTCCAGATTCCATCAGATTTTTTTTAGATCTCTTTTCACATTTTTCTTAGATCTCTTTTCACATTGCTATCCTTCCTTTTATGGCCACCCCTCCGGCTCACATGTTTATTGCTTCATATCAAGTTGATGGCAGCAGATTCTGAGGTGATTTCCCTGATGTTATGGAATCTGCTTTCCACTCTCTCACGTAACTTTCTCAAAATGGTATCCTTTATTGCAGTGGTGCTCAGACCTGGTGCTTTTGGGAAATACATTCAGATTCATTTAAGAAATATCCAAGCCTCAGCCTGTTGGATGAGAATTTCTGTGCGGGCTTAGCAAGTGTATCATTTAAAAGCCGCTCAGATGATTCTCTTGTACCAATATTGTCGAGCCTGTCCTTTGTCATGTCTGGCCCGTGCACAGGACTTTATGGTGATTTCTAGCCTTCTAGATGCACTGTCAATTCCTCTCCTTGGTTTTCCAGGCCCTTCATAAACCTATCTAACCATGTGTCTCATGACTCCGTAACTCACCATTAGTTCCATTAGGCTCAGCTTTCTTCCCTTCCCGTAATGACACGTCTCCTTTTAACACTTCTGATAGTTTCTTATGATGTTCCCTTATGGTCATGACTTTCTCTTATCCTTTCCCATGGTGGTGTCTTATCCATACCTCTCATCGGCTTCATGATGAGTTTACTTATTCTTTTAGTCCTCGCTATTTTTTTTATTTTTTTATTTCTTAGGCCACCGTTTATCATCAGTATTCCAGTATTTAATCTTTGGGTGTATATTCTACTAAGTTCATGCAATACGTTTTGTTTTGTCATCCTCAGGGCCTGTATCTAATGTTAACCACTGACTACTTCCTTATTAATCCTTATTCTGTTGTTTTGCCAAAGCCACTTGATGTCATACTAGCTACCACTTAATGACCATCCATATACCCCATGTGCTTTACATGGTTTATCTCATTTTAAGTCTCTGCAAACTGAAGTGCAGGTGGGGTTTTCCTAGTTTTATCAATGAACAAAAAGTGAATGTTGGTAAAGTGAATAGTTGACCAGCATTATGAAGCTTAGAAATGGCAGAGCCAGAATTTAAATGCAAGTCAGAATGTGCTACGAGAAGCCTTGCCTTATTTACTACCATGTCTTGCCTGTGCAATCAAGAGTGGGAAGTTTCTTTTTATCTTATGTCTTTGAGCGCACCGAGAGTCCAGTGATAAAGCACCTTTCCAATTTATTTAAAAACAAAAACAAAAACAAAAAAAACTCTTTGTTTGAAATTATGCTTCTTTTTTAGGCACCGGGCCGTTAACCTCTTTCTTCAGGGATATGAAAAGTCTTGGATTGAAACAGAAGAACACTACTTTGAAGATAAGCTGATAGAAGATTTAGCAGTATGTCTTAATGGGGCTATAAGTTGAAAGAGGGCTTGGGTCTGGTGGAGTCACGCTGGCGTGACCAGGTTATCCTATCACAGCGGAGAGAAAGCACCATTGCAGTGTTGGTCCTAGGAAACTTTCTATTCTTGACTGCTACTGCATTCAATGTTCAGGGAACATCTTATTCTTCTTACTTCAGAGATCTCATCAGCACCCAGCAATTCCGAATTTCAGGTGAATGATAGAAGTTTATTATAACCAGGCTTTGACTCGATTATTCTTTTAAATTCTTCTGCAGAGCACCTTTAAACACCTTAGAACCTAGCATAGAACTATAAAAGCTGAACCGTATAGAAGTTATCCACCAAAAATAAGTTGAGGGTTAACAAAAGCCAATGAAAGGTAGCTGGTTTTTAAAAATATATGAGGCAGAGAATGATGGGACTAGACGCAAGAAGAACAGGAAGTCATGGTAAAATGCATTAGATGGAGACTAGATTTTTGGTCCTGCCATTTTGGACAGGTAAAGTTGCTCTCGTACTGAGAGGAGAGCAGTCTTCATCTTTTTTTTTTTAAGTCTTTTTTTTAATGTTTATTTCTTTTGAGGGGCACACTGTGCAAGTGGGGAAGGGGCAGGGAGAGAGAGGAGAGAGACAATCCCAGACAGGCTCCACCCTATCAGCACAGAGCCCCATGTAGGGCTCAAACTCACGAAGCCATGAGATCATTACCTGAGCCAAGATCAAGAGTCAGCTGCTTAACTGACTGAGCCACCCAGGCGCTCCAGTCTTAATGTTTTATAAGTCGCGGGCCTGATTAAATATCTGATGAACCAGGGTGCTCCGTTGGTTAAGTGTCCGACTTCAGCTCAGGTCATGATCTCGCGGTTCATGAGTTTGAGCCCCGCATCCTGCTCTGTGCTGACAGCATGGATCCTGGAGCCTGCTTCGGATTCTGTGTGTGTGTGTGTGTCTCTCTCTCTGCCCCTCCCCACTCATGCTCACTTGCTCTCTCTCTCTCAAAAATAAATAAACCTAAAGTTATTTTTAAAAAATATCTGATGAAAACTATCTTCTCAGGAAAATTTCCAGGCATATGGTCCTCTGGAATTTTGCAGACTAGTTGGAGGTTTCTTGATTCTCAAGTTAAAGACCTCATCTGTAAACATTTTTTTTTAACTCCCAAGTTATCAGAGAATATTGGATAAACTGATATAATTCATGAAAGCCTGACCCTGACTATCCCTATATATTTTAAATGAATTCTAGTTTGGCTTTAGAACCAAAACAACCAATAGAATTTTGGGTATCTTACAGACGTGTACCCAGTATCTACAATATTAACCTTTAAATCCAGGAAAGAACATCATTTATGTAGAGAGAAAATCAGCCTAAATGGGTAAGGCCTTGGAGATACAAAAGTCATTAAACCATTCAACAGACAGTCAAGATTAATTAACTCTACAGTCAGTAAAAATGCTTTATAATTTTCCTCATGTTAAAAGTTCTAATAGTATAAAACTATTCTTTGTGAGTTTAAAGTAACTGAAAATAAAAAATGTAGAAGTGGTTCACACATTAACTTTTAGCATTCTTTCCCTGTCATTGCTTCTGTAGGCAAAGACAATGCTGTGTTTAATGATCAATTTTCAGGGTTGTGTGGACTAAACTTTTATACTTGGAACAACCTAGGATATTATTATAATTCTTTATAAATTGAGCCCTCCATAAAGCTATGACATCTCTGTACCAAATACACCCCCAGTTGTGAATCTGCTTCCAAGAATGGCAGTCAGAATTTGTAAGTGATGTGAGTCATCCTTGCCCATAGTGTTTTTTGGTCCAATTATTAAATAACTTTTTTTAAGCTGCATAATTTTGCATTGATTATGTAACCCACACACATATGCACAGTGTATATAAAACACACACGTGCATGCACAATGCCTCTAAAGCATGCGTGCACACGTGTGTGCGCGCGCGCGCGCACACACACACACACACACACACACACACACACACACACGCCAGAGCAGGAAGAAAATAGCTTTCCTTTTATTCATTGTTCCTGACCCTCACAGTACTCCGGAGTTTGAGTGAACATTTCATTTCAGTGTGAAATTTTATCAATTTGGTTTTTTTGTAGAAACCTGGAGCAGACCCTCCAGAGGAAGAGGAAGGCACAAAGAGAGTCGATCCCCTCCATCAGCTCATCCTTCTGTTTAGTCGAACAGCTTTAACGGAGAAATGGTATGGTTGGGACGGTTCGTGTGAGCATAGGAAGAACAGATAAAGAAACCCATGTCTCAGTATCCCGTGTGTCACATATTCATGTTTCAATTTCATCTGACTCTTGTTAGGAGAGAGAATTGTTACAAGATAAGACCAGTCTGCCATACACCTGTGGGCCAACATTCATGCAAGTGCAGGCTTTGATGTCTACCTGTGAGCTCCAGTTTTTCCTAACAACTTAGTCATCAGCGGATTTACTTGATCCTGAATCTTATAAAATGAGTTTTGTCTTCATCGCAAATGGCCTTCATAAATAAAAAAAGGAACCCAAAGCAAATTCCAGTACACAAAAAAATGTGGGCACCCAAATTTCCTGAGTAGATTGTGCAGTGGGTCTTAAGAAACCTTAGAAGGTGGGTGAACCATCATCTCCACAGGAAGTTTCTTTGAGGTCTATTTTGAGGGCATTTTCCATTTTCCTTGGCTTTTGCAGCCTGGTTCATATGAATTCCCCAGAGCCACAAAGGCTGACCCTCTCTGTAGTTAAATAAGCTTTGCACTCAGATGCCCAGTAATCAAAATGGGCTCAGCGTCTGCTCCTCCTAGGGAGCACTACATAGATTCGCTCTGTGGAGGAAACCTTGGAGAGGTTATAAAACATTTATCTGCATCCCTGCCATACAAAAGGAATCCTCCTTTGCCCAAGGCCTCCCTCTGGTTCGTGCAGAAGCCGGAAGATAATTTAATTATCAATCCTTTCCGCCCGAGTCTTTTCAGAGTCTAGATAAATTCATGTGACCTCTATGCATGCCATAATAATGCACATTTCTCCCCCTTAGCCAATGTGATCCATTCTTCTCTCACGATGTCTCTCTCTCTCTCTCTTATTATTTCCTAACTAACAAAATCATCTCATTCCTAAGCATAGAGCAACCCTCTGTCTGGCCTTGTCAGGTAATGAGGTATTTTCATAAGTGAATTTTTCTGATGGCTGAAGCTTTGAACTGCTGAAATAGCTTTGCAAATATTAGGTAATTTTTGATGGAAACCTTTCTTCATGAATTAATGATTTCCATACGCTGTAAGAAAAGGATTAGTAAACATATTTCTTAATTTTTGAGACTCACTATGACCACTGTATTTTTGGGGCAATATAGTAGCATAAGAATCTGGGGAGTCTTTCCATCCAATGTCAAGTATCGCTTCTGCTGTCAAAGCCCCTACCTCATTTAAATTTGCTTGTTTCAGCTTCTGTAGTTTCAAGAAAATGAAAGCTATACATTGTGTGTAAGTCAATAGACCATTTATTTTGTGAGATTTGAAGGCCTCTTCTGGAAGGTAAGGCGGGACAGGGACAGCCGTGTAGGTCTGAGATCTTTGCTGATTCTACAATATTTCTGAATGATGACTTTGCCTAGGTTTTGTGTTTATTTCATTTTGAAAGGGCATACTGGTTGAAAACTAAAGGTTATTTTACCATGATGGTAGTTCTGCTCATGACAAGCCTCCCACTTAAAAACTCATGTGTTGTTCTTGTTTTTCATAGCAAACTGGAGGAAGATTTTTTATATATGGCTTATGCAGATATTATGGCAAAGGTAAATAAATCCATCTTGACTTTAATGTTTAACTTGAATAAAGAGAAATCACTTTCATCTGACATAAGGATAAAAATCTATGTATTTTGGGGTCTAGATAAAATACTGTTAAATCCTAGAAGCCTGAAGAGGCATTAATCTTAATTTTCCACTTGCTGAATGAATCTCTGTTCAAACTTCCTTGACAGGTAACCATTGTTTCCCTGTTCACATTTTATTTACGGGGAGCTGATTTTCCAAACATTCACTCATTCATTCATTCATTCATTCATTCATTCATTCAACAAATATTCACTGGGCCTCAAGGTATTGTCGATGACATGGCCAATAAGAAGAAAATGCATACACCCTTCCTGGAGTTGATAGTCTGAGGGAGAGAAAACAAAATGCAAGCAAGTGATCACAAAAAGCTGTGTCGAGTTCAGTGGTAGCAGAGCTGTTAGTGGTACAGGAGCTGGTTGCTGTACTAAGTTGGGCCCGCTTAGTCTAAGGTTTAAGGGAGTCCGTGACTGTCCAGTGACAAGTGAAGCATGTGAAAATAGTAACAGTATTTACTGAGTCTTTGTTTCATTTATATCTCACAATAGGAGGGTGAATGAAGGGGTGAATTAAAAGAGGAGTCAGGGTGTCTGTGAAGCTTCTCACGTGGGCAGTTGGGTAGATGGTGCTACCCGATACTGAGATGGGGAGCCCGGAAGAATTGCGGGCCTGGAGTGAAGAGGAAAGATGACCTATTACATTGTGGACTTGTTAGTTAAAAATGCCTGTGTACTGAGAACAAACTGAGGGTTGATGGGGGGTGGGAGGGAGGGGAAGGTGGGTGATGGGTATTGAGGAAGGCACCTTTTGGGATGAGCGCTGGGTGTTGTATGGAAACAAATTTGACAATAAATTTCATATATTGAAAAAAAAATGCCTGTGAGACAGCCACGTGGAGATGTCAGACATGTGATGAGGCATTTGTGCCTGACATTCAGTATATCAGGGATGGCTTATACATACAGATTTGGGATTTACCAGCATTCGAAGGGAATCGAGGTCATAGACATGGATGGTCTTGCCCAGAAAGAGAAGGTGTCTCTTCCCCTCTGTAGAGGGGAAGGCCTGCGGCTGCGCCTCTAAAGACATGGGTTTATGTTTCTCCTTTTAGAAGAAAAGAAACCCGTTATAAAAAAGGCAGGTGGAGAATCTTAAGCATGAGCATATGTAGGAGCTGTGGACCTAAGGGAGTAGTCAACAGGATCATATGCTGCTAGGAATAGGGATGAATAAGGTGAGAATTGAAACTTCTCTAGGATTTATTACATGGGCATCATGTGACCGTGGTGAGAACAGTTCCAGAAGATTATTGTGAGGGGCCATTGGTGGTGCTAGCACTGCTAGCACCATATTATGGGGAACTAAGGTAGAGAGAGAGAGAGAGAGACAGAGTATGAACAGGGGAGGAGCAGCGTTAGGGAGACACGGAATCAGAAGCAAGCTCCAGGCTCTGAGCTGTCAGCACAGAGCTTGATGCGGGGCTCGAACTCACAAATGGTGCAATCGTGACCTGAGTTGAAGTTGGACACTTAACTGACTGAGCCACCCAAGAGCCCCTGACATTTGATGTATTTTTAATTCTTATAATTTTTTAAGTTATTTTGAGAGAGAGCGGGGGGAGGGGCAGAGAGAGAGGGAGAGAGAGACAGAATTCCAAGCAGACTCTGCACTGACAGATGCAGGGATCAAACCCATAAACTGCGAGATCATGACCTGAGCCAAAATCAAGAGTTAGAGGCTTATTTGACCGAGCCACCCAGGCACCCCTAAATTTTATAATTTTTAACATACGTGATCATTTCTTTAATTAGAGTCAGACCATAGTCCAAAGCCAAAATATTTTTAAAGTTCAGCTCTATCTTTCAGTGTTAAATAGCTCTTTGCAAGTATGCCAGCCACAAGCTTGTTAAATGTGGTTTCCCTGTGTTTATCTTAGTGGCTAGTTTTGATGATTCATATCAAACTGGAGTCTCTGGAGGTTGCCTTTCTTCATTTTGAAAATCCTCATCCCAGAAACTGAGATAACCTCTGTGGAAAACAGTATGGAGGCCCCTCAAAAAATTAAAAATAAGGTACTATGATCCAGGAATTATGCTACTAGATATTTACCAAAAAAAAAAAAAATGAAAATAGTAATTCAAAGGGATACATGCATCCTTATGTGTATATATAGCAGCATTATTTACAACAGTCAAAGTATGGAAGCAGCCCAAGTGTCCATCGATAGATGATTGGATAAAGAAGATGTGGTGTATATACACAATGGAATATTGTTCAGCCATAAAAGACAGTGAAATCTTGCCATTTGCGACAACATGGATGAAGTTATAGACTATAATCCTAAGTGAATTAAGTCAGGCAAAGATAAATACCATATGATTTCACTCATATGTGGAATTTAAGAAACTAAACAAAGGAAAAAAGAGACAGACAAACCCAGAAACAGACTCTTAACTATAGAAAACAAACTGATGGTTACCAGAGGGGAGGTGGGTGACAGGAATGGGTGAAATGGGTGATGGGGATTAAGGAGTGCACTTAACATGATGAAAAAAAATGGAATAAACAGATGACTATTAGTTCAATCAGCATTATGAAGTACAAATGTAGAGTCACTTTACTCATAATCCCTCTGAAAATTGTGCATGTGCATGTAGGGAATAGTTCAAAGAGAAGACTATTTTTTTAAGTGCTGTGAATTTGCCTATTTTTTGCAGAAAGCAGTATATCTTTAGGCTTTGCTGTTATGGGCATTATGGTCATTATTCCTTTCTATTTTTAGCTATGTGGTTAATAAAAGTATTTTTATTTTTAATTTTTTTAATATGAAATTTATTGTCAAATTGGTTTCCATACAACCCCCAGTACTCATCCCAACAGGTGCCCTCCTCAATGCCCATCACTGACTTTCGCCTCCCTCCTGCCCCCCATCAACCCTCAGTTTATTCTCAGTTTTTAAGAGTCTCCCTCTCTAACTTTTTTTTCCTTCCCCTCCCTCATGATCTTCTGTTAAGTTTCTCAGGATCCACATAAGAGTGAAACCATATGGTATCTGTCTTTCTCCGTATGACTTATTTTACTTAGCATAACACTCTCCAGTTCCATCCATGTTGCTACAAAAGGCCAGATTTCATTCTTTCTCATTGCCAAGTAGTATTCCATTGTGTATATAAACCACAATTTCTTTATCCATTCATCAGTTGATGGACATTTAGGCTCTTTCCATAGTTTGGCTATTGTTGAAAGTGCTGCTATCAACATTGGGGTACAAGTGCCCCTATGCATCAGCACTCCTGTATCCCTTGGGTAAATTCCCAGCAGTGCTATTGCTGGGTCATAGGGTAGATCTGTTTTTAATTTTTTGAGGAACCTCCACACTGTTTTCCAGAGTGGCTGCACCAGTTTGCATTCCCACCAACAGTGCAAGAGGGTTCCCGTTTTTCCACGTCCTCTCCAGCATCTATAGTCTCCTGATTTGTTCATTTTAGCCACTCTGACTGGCGTGAGGTGATATCTCTGTGGTTTTGATTTGTATTTCCCTGATGAGGAGCAACATTGAGCATCTTTTCATGTGCCTGTGGGCATCTGGATGTCTTCTTTAGAGAAGTGTCTATTCATGTTTTCTGCCCATTTCTTCACTGGATTATTTGTTTTTCGGGTGTGGAGTTTGGTGAGTTCTTTATAGATTTTGGATACTAGCCCTTTGTCCGATATGTCATTTGCAAATATCTTTTCCCATCCCGTGGGTTGCCTTTTAGTTTTGTTGATTGTTTCCTTTGCAGTGCAGAAGCTTTTTATCTTCATGAGGTCCCAATAGTTCATTTTTGCATTTAATTCCCTTGTCTTTGGAGATGTTTCAAGTAAGAAATTGCTGCGGCTGAGGTCAGAGAGGTTTTTTCCTGCTTTGTCCTCTAGGGTTTTGATGGTTTCCTGTCTCACATTCAGGTCCTTTATCCATTTTGAGTTTATTTTTGTGAATGGTGTAAGAAAGTGGTCTAGTTTCATTCTTCTGCATGTTGCTGTCCAGCTCTCCCAGCATCATTTGTTAAAGAGACTGTCTTTTTTCCATTGGATATTCTTTCCTGCTTTGTCAAAGATTAGTTGGCCATACTTTTGTGGGTCCAGTTCTGGAGTCTCTATTCTATTCCACTGGTCTATGTGTCTGTTTTTGTGCCTATACCATGCTGTCTTGATGATTACAGCTTTGTAGTAGAGGCTAAAGTCTGGGATTGTGATGCCTCCCACTTTGGTCTTCTCCTTCAATATTACTTTGGCTGTTCAGGGTCTTTTGTGGTTCCACACAAATTTTAGGATTGCTTGTTCTAGCTTCGAGAAGAATGCTGGTGCAATTTTGATTGGGATTGCACTGAATGTGTAGATAGCTTTGGGTAGTATTGACATTTTAACAATATTTATTCTTCCAATCCATGAGCATGGAATGTTTTTCCATTTCTTTGTATCTTCTTCAATTTCCTTCACAAGCTTTCTATAGTTTGAGCATACAGATCTTTTACATCTTTGGTTAGGTTTATTCCTAGGTATTTGATGATTCTTGGTGCAGTTGTGAAGGGATCAGTTTCTTTATTTGTCTTTCTGTTGCTTCATTATTAGTGTATAAGAATGCAACTGATTTCTCTACATTAATTTTGTATCCTGCGACTTTGCTGAATTCATGTATCAGTTCTAGCAGACTTTTGGTGGAGTCTGTCGGGTTTTCCATGTATAATATCATGTCATCTGCGAAAAGTAAAAGCTTGACTTCATCATTTTTAGATACATTCACAGGTATAGACCAAAAATTGAGAATTAAGGAATTAGTCCTTTGGGGAGACTGCTTTTGGGGAAAATCCAATGACCACAAAGTCCCTAAACTAAATATGAAAACATGAGGAGAGAATTTCTAAAGTGAGCCAAATACAGACCTTGGAATTATCAAGTTTTCTTAATTTGAATACTTATTT